GCTTGGGGGTCAACTGGGCTTGGTCTTGGGGGGCATCGTGGCCAACCATGGGCTTGGTAAGTCAACCATGGCTTGGGTCACCCAGCTGTGGTCTGAGTCACCCAATTGGGGTCTTGACTACCAATCTGTGGTCTTGGTAAGTCAATTGTGGCTTGGGTCACCCAACTGCGGTCTTGGTAAGTCAACCATGGTCTTGGTAAGTCAACCATGGCTTGGGTCAGCCAACCATGGTCTTGGTCACTCAATCATGGTTTTGATAACCCCATCACAGTCTTGGTAAGTCAACCATGGCTTGGGTCACCCAACCACGGTCTTGACCACCCAACCGTGGTCTTGACCACCCAACCACGGTCTTGGCCACCCAACCATGGTCTTGGCCACCCAACCACAGTCTTGACCACCCAACTGTAGTCTTGGCCACCCAACCATGGTCTTGACCACCCAACCGTGGTCTTGGTAACCCAACCATGGTCTTGGTAAGTCAATCATGGCTTGGGTCACCCAACCGTGGTCTTAATCACCCACCCACAGTCTTGACCACCCAACTGTGGTCTTGGCCACCCAACCATGGTCTTGACCACCCAACCGTGGTCTTGCCCACCCAACCCTGACCCTGTCCCTCCCCCCCCCCAGCACCATCACGCCGGTGGTGGGCAAGAAGCGCAAGCGCAACGCCTCCTCCGACAACTCCGACTCGGAGGCGCTGCCGGCGCCGTCCCCGCGCGACGACGACGAGTCCAGCGTCCAGGTACGGCCCCGCCCGCCCCCCGAAGGTGCCCCGCCCCTCTCGAGGTCCCACCCAACCCCTCGCGTCCCCCCTTCCAGAAGCGCCGGTCGAACCGGCAGGTGAAGCGCAAGAAGTACACGGAGGATCTGGACATCAAGATCACGGACGACGAGGAGGACGAAGAGCTGGACGTGACGGGGCCGGCGCGGCCCGAGCAGCTCCAGCAGCAGCTCCACAACCAGCAGCAGCAGCAGCAGCAGCCGCCGGTGCCGGCGACCGCGCCGCCGGCGCCCGAGCCCGAGGGAGAGGCCCTGCCCTCCATGCAGTTCTTCGTGGTGGGTGACGGGCGGCGGGGGGGGTTGGGTGGGGACTTGGTTGGGGTCGGTTGGGTCTTGGTTGGGGTTGGTTGGGTCTTGGTTGGGGTCATTTGGGTGCTTGGTTTTTATTGGGGTCAGTTGGGTGCTTGGTCTTGGTTGGGGTTGGTTGGTCTTGGTTGGGGTTGGTTGGTCTTGGTTGGGGTTGGGTCCTTGGTCTTGGTTGGGGTTGGTTGGGTCTTTGGTCTTGGTTGGGTGTTTGGTCTTGGTTGGGGTTGGTTGGTTGGTCTTGGTTGGTCTTGGTCTTGGTTGGGTGTTTGGTCTTGGTTGGGGTTGGTTGGGTCCTTGGTCTTCGTTGGGTGTTTGGGGTTGGTTGGGGTTGGTTGGGTCTTGGTTGGGTTGGTTGAGTCCTTGAT